TGAGACCAACACTATTTCTGGCCCATGAGGTCTTTTTGTATCTTGTGGTTCTGTCATTTGGTGTGATCATCCCACTGCCATGGGAAGCTATTTTGAGAATGAAAGCCATTTTCTTGCATCTAAATTTCTGGTCTTTGCATGTAACTAAGTGTAAATTCCAACTTTCTATTCTTCAGGAAGATCAGTCGGCTTTCTAGAGTATAAAATAACTTCTTTCCATTGCAGGGATGTCTTAACACAGAGATTCTTGCTCTTTGTGTCATGTAGAGACAGTTTTCTTCAATAACAGCCCAACTGTATCCAACTGCTTGTTCTTTCTCAGTCATTTCTTCAAAATGGAGCTGCTGCTGATGTCTGCAGGCTGTCCTTGTCAATGAGAGGAAGATTTTTATTAGATTCCTGTGTGATTTTGTCACCTGTTTAGGGAGTACTAAAACCCTGCCTTGACTGTATGATGGACTGATGAGCATCCTGCTTTTGGACAAGTCATCTGCTGTCTTTTCKGAGGAATAATAAAATGCTTCCTTTTCAGTCACTGCTGAAGTTACAAGAGTAGGAATGATTATATTTCCCTATTATACCTATTTATATGATTTCCTTGGAAGCAGAGTGGCCTCTGTAGTTTTCCACTCAAGCTGGTTTCCTTGACTTCATAGCAGCATTGTACATTTTGGTAATGAGAGATCCATTTGAGTGGGCTGGATTTCATTTAGRTTTATTATTCCTCTAGCTGGTCTCTGGGTAGATGCCAAGTGTGTTGTAAGATACTCACACACKTGTGACACAGAAGTGTTGGAGCACAGGCAGAGACAAAAAGGGTAAGAATGAAATTCCCTCTCCAGCCTTGTGCCTTCCCCTGATTTATTCACTGTGGGTGTGCAGGGGGGTGGGAAAGAGAAAGCCTTGATGAAAAAAAAGAAAGCAAGAACTGCTCAGCAATAGTCAAAATTCTGGTGCTTTTCCAGCTCTGGTTTAGTCACACATGCAAAYCCCACAGCACCATGAAGAAAATGAACTCACCCCCATGCAGACTTAGTACCTGTGCTCAGTGCTCCACTCTAGACAATGAAAGCCCCCATGGAAATGTTTTTCAGGAGAAATAATGAGATCTGTGTGAGGTGTGTACATGTTGAAGTGAGGAGGAGAGAGGGTGACATGTTAAATAATCAGAGTTTCCATGAAGCACGTATTTGATTACCTTTCAGTTTAGTGCATGACTTCAGTTTGCTGGTGCAGTTTTWATCTGTCATCTTGTTCTTATTTAATTTATCTGTGTCTCATATCTTCAGTCTTTTCTGTTCATAATTGATCTATGCTTATTCRCATATTTTCTCTTGTACCTCACTGCTTATATTCTCTTCTGCTTCACATAATAAATACACTGAACAACCCTGAGCTGATATCAGACTTTCTAAATCTCTACATTTTTTCTTATGGCATAGTGAAAATAGGCTGTTTATTTTCATCCTATTCTTTTTGTTGTGGAACACTTGACAGTGACCTGTCTCCCTTGTACTTTGATATTCTCTTGTGAGAGTTTCAAATGGTACTAATAARCCAGTTCTTCATCTAGTGCTTTGGCATACTGAAAGAATTCTAGATAAGAAGACCATTTTTCTCTTAGAGGCCCTGATATTTGCACTTAGTCATATGATTTGCTAGAAATTTCAAACTGTAGATTTATTTGGTGTCAAGTGAAAGAATTATTTGGCTTATCTTGGGAAGCTGAAGTCTACCTAACTACAAATCTCTAGAACCATTTTGCAGTCCTTTGGAATAATACTCTTGCTTAATGAGAGTGTGCACGATTTTAATAGTTCAGCTATTTCACTGCTAAATTCTTTCCATTAGCTCATGATGGATGTTCTGTTTTATTTAGAAGAATGAACATTGCATTCATTAGGCAAACTTCATTAAATTTGSAGCTCAATCAACTAGAACTATAATAATATGGAGAGGAAACTTCCTAATCTGACGTTTGTAAAACTGAGCCTTTTTGGAATTGGTTTTTATCTTATGCAACATGAATAGCTGAGCTTTTGTATTGAACAGAGGCAGACCCTGGGAGGAGTGCCTTCAGCTATCAGAAGTGTTATTTTCTATTATAGTTTAATTGTTTTATAGCATTTTCCCACCACAATCAGACATCTGCTCCCTCTGTATCTGGAGCAATAATAGACTGGTTGAGGTGGTAGCAAAAAGTGTATGCTTCTCTAAACTGTTATCTCATTATTTAGGGTTACTTTATGGCTCYTCAAATGGCACCTTCTGCAGTTTAATTCCAGGAAGGTTATCCCCTTGTCCTTTAAAGCAAAATTTATGGATCTTGGCATGATTATGAAAGRAAAAAAAATGAACATCCTCTATTATGAATGGAAAATCAGTTCTTTTTGTGACTTTGGATGCATGGTTTCTATCAGCATCAGTAAGGGGAAGTACCATTGCCTATCTATTTCTGCTTTACCTATAGCATCACATATGAGTAATGTAGGCYAGTGATTGGAACACTTCCTTTTCTTCTTTTTTTAATTTTCAGTYCATGCATTGCTGGTGGTGCAGCACATTTTAAGATGAAGACAGCTATTACAATATCACTGCCTGTTTCGGTCAATCTAGAGATACAGAAGAATTCAATGGAAACTCTTATTTAAGAATAAATTAAGAATGATATATTTTCCACCTAGTCCTTGAAGAAGGAAACTGAGAGCAATTAATAATTTTACTCTCTAACCAAACATAGTGTTGCCCACAAATGGTTTTAAGTTGCAGGATTGGTCAGCCAAGGTGTTACATGTGTATTGTCCTCAGTGCTGGATTATGTCCAGCTCTGCCCTCTGTTCTTTTAGGCACAGTACTTCTGAGTGTAAATTCTGCATTTTGGACTTTTCTCCTCAATGCCCACGAGGAGGGAATTAGTTTGCTTCCTGCTGCCTGATTGACACTAAAGGAAGAAGAGTGGATTGACAATCTGTTGMAAAATATTGACTTGTCATCTCTTGGCCTTTTGAAAATGTGTTCAGCCAAAAGGGTTTAAAGATGCAAAGAGTGTTCCTCTGAGTCTTTCTCACGGAAGAAGTACTTATGTGTAGAGAAAGAATAACAACCCCAAATTTGGTTGAAGTAACCTGCTTATATRAAAAAAGGAAAACAAATAATTTATAAAGGTTGGAATATGAATGCTAACCTTAGGAGAGCGTGATAAAATTTAAAAGGTTGTTTAAATTTGTATTTTTAGAAACTATTGCAAGAGGAACTTTCACAATTTCCCAAGATTTTTGTATCCCTATTTGTTCAACCACTTTCTGTATTTGAAAGTTTTACCCATGTGGTGTAAATAAAGGAGCAGAAATTACTTTGAGCGTGTGATGGAAGCTGTATAACACCTTCAACTTTATGTTAATAAATACTTTGTCAGCTGGTATTGAAGGTAGTTCTTGTGCCATGRTTTTATTTGCATATTTTTGAAGCGATAAATTAGATAACTGTCACATTATGCTCGTGAGAAGGTGCTAAGTTAAGTGCTGTGCTCAAAGGAACCTCTGCTYCAGCACAAGCAGTGAAATTTGTCATCTGGCTGAAGGTGTTAAACCTTGTAGTGAATTCATTTCCTGAGAGTTATAGGCATGGCTGGTGGACAGTTTGTCAAAGGATATGTCTTTTAATTAATCTTGCAAAGGGTGTCCTGATCTGTATTTAAATTTTCTTAACACCACCAACTTTAGRATAACCATACCTAATTGACATTGATTAAAACCAATGAAGTTATTCTTTAAGAAATTAGTTGGTAGTTACTTTGTCATGGATACGGTTGTGTTTAATTTTTATTATCTAGGGAGAGAAGACCCTGAAAATGGAATTAATTAATAAATGTCTCTGTCAGTCATTTAGGTGTGTGAAGGAAACACAGTAGGGATGATGATGGCTTCATTCAGTTCCTGTTACACTTGAGGGGACAGAAAATAGCTCCAACCATGTGAAAGTCAGAAATGGATGAAYAGAAACTACCAAGTGGGAACACTGTGCTGTAGAGATTCCATTATGGGTAGAAAGCACATTAAAAAACTCTAAATTCACTTGTTAGAACACTRCCATCATTAAATTGTTAATCATAGTTATTAGATCATAGACCATTAAATCATGGTTTATAGATTACAGTATAAACAGTGAAATTTGGCTKGCTTCAATTTCTTAGTRCRCAGGWAGTTTTSTACACTCCATATAAASAGATTTCCCGTGGTAATTTTTGCTTTCCTGTAGAAACAAAGATSTCCTGAGRGTGTGGGGACAMCCTGGGGACACCATGGCMSAGTCACTCATCAATCAGCTCCAAATTGCTGCTCTTTCAACTGAATGGCATTTTAGCTTAAAGCACCATTGATTTTTATTTGGCTTTCAGTTCAGTTCTCCACTCCAAGTGGTGACAGTTGAGAAATCCATTAGAGCTCCTCGTGAGGGTCCCTGGGGACACCAAGGGGAACATTTTGGGATTGTGGCTTTGGCAGTCACTTCCCTGCTCATCAGCCCGTGCTTTGCAATCATTAGGTAGCATCCATAATTGCAAAACTTTRAATATTTCAGAAGTAAATGTTGGGAAGTGCAATGATTGCTTTATCTTTCATATATTTTTTTTTTTTGGTAATGCTTCTGTCCTAGAATTCCTTGTATCTTTTTGAAGCTGAATGTCTTTCTATCCTTTGGATTTTTGTGGTTGGTTTTTTTGTGTCAAAGTACAGTTGCTCAAGTACAAGTAGGAAAGCAGATAAGAAGGGCTCTTTTTTCTATCTTAGTTATTCTTTTTTCCCCAGAAGCCAAACTGTGCCAGAGGATTGATACTTGGAAAGAGGAGTGGGAATGAACCTGATAATTCCATGCTCATTTTGATTATTCTTTGTGCTGACACCTTTGTAGTAACTTTGCTACTGCTTGGGTTGTTTTCTGTGATGTTTAAGAAAAACGTTGGAATAGTCACTTGAAACAGAAATCCTTCTTTTTCCACCTAGGAAACTCACAAATGGGTGCTACCATAGTMGATGCATTGGATACTCTTTATATCATGGGCCTTCACGATGAATTCAGAGAAGGACAAGAATGGATTGACAAAAATCTTGATTTCAGTGTGGTGAGTAGAGCCTTCCATAATATTTCTGTAGTAATTTTCATGGTGTACATCTTGGGGGAAGATAGAAGAGGTTTTTTCAGATGAAACTTAAATGTGCCAGATACAAACTTGAGTGACATTCTATTGTATCTATTTATTTTGAAAAAAAAAAGAATATATCCCAACCCTTTCACACTTCTTTTGTATTTTCAAAGTGCAAATTATAATTGGATAATGGAAGAAAAGGGAAGTGTTTTGTGAAAAAAAACAACCAAGCCTCAGAAATGAAGACAAAAAGATGAGGTTTCACTGGCTGATAATAGTTGCAAATAACTGAGCTATGGAAGGCAATTTTCCTCCAAATTACGGTGTATAAATTACTTAAGAATASAGTAGCTTTTCTTCTGTGTCCTTAAGAGTTTTCACAGAAAAAATGCTGCCTGAATTCTTGAATTTTCCTACGGGCTCTGAATCTTATCACAAGAATTTCCATTTGGTCATAGAGCATCTGACATTCTTCATGTGTGCAGAGTTTGGAAGCATTAAATGGAAGAAATGGCTCTATTTTAGTCTTATTGATTAGTGTTCTTAGTACTAGCTTTGGGACTGTCACAGACTCTGTGATGGTATTTGTATTTCAATCCTTGGATTTGCCCTATGATTCCAAAAATAATTTTTCATTCAGTAAATGCACATAATGAAATGTAGCTGTACACAGAATTCAGCAAATGCTTACTGTTGTTTCTATATTTTACCCTACTTTTCAAAAATTATTTGTTTGGGCTTTTTCCCTTTGATTTATACCTCGACTGTCTGGCAAACATCAAAGAAATTTTACTCTGCTTTTTTCAGTTAGTACCAGTTAATTATTCAGTCTAAAACTGAAGATCCTAAATATATCAGAGACAGTGTAGACATAATGATACCATTATGAGGTGARCTAAATTGCTTCCATAACTTTTGTCTGATCTAAGGCAATTTCAATATAAATTTGCAATATTAATCTAGGATTTGGATGGAAGGAATTTACATGACCCTCTGGGSTTCAATTACATCTTCCTATGTATCAAAAACCATTTCTGAAGGTTAATGAGTTGTCTTGTGTATRCACCAAACTTGAGTAATTTCCTTATATGGCTTGGCATTTATAAATAAATACATAAATTTGTTCCTCTTGGATTATTTTTCTGGGAAATGGAAATCATTAATTTAACTTTACTCTGTGCCATTGCATGTGTGATTCATGACTTTAATGGGTATTAAGCAGAATCATGGTGCATTGGTGTTACTTTTCTAGTATTTCTATGTGAAAAGAGAAAGCCTTTTATTAAAAACATTTTGGGAGTATTTCAAACTTTTTGACTTCTAATCAGTGCTGTTGGAGGAAATCTTTATTCACATAATCTTCCTAAAATATGTAATACATGCAAAACACATTTAGTGTGATCCAGTCACTGCAGGTTCCATAGAAATGGAATGAAAGGAAAGACATTTCATCTGTGTGCACATTGGTCAGTTGTAGTGACTTTTCTGGATAAAGGGAAAAATCTTGTCTACCTCAAAATTTCCTAAAAATGACATTTCTGTGTCTAACAGGTTGCAGAGAAGTTTATGGGGTAGATGGAGTGTATGAGGACAGATGAGTGAATGGGGCACAAAGGGAGTTAGGTGTTAAAACTACCTGGTTCCTCTTAATTTTTCTGTAGGTTAAATGAGTCAGAAGATACTGTTGAATTCAGCCTAAGGATGATAATCTGGAAGAGGGCAATCAAATGGTTTATTCTCTGGAGTTTCTCAGTGGTCTTGCAGTACTTCTTGTCATAACATAAAGGCTGTTCCTAGACAGAGATTATGTTAAAATGGAGCTCTGAGTTTGAGTTTAACAATTCAGTTTAAGAAACTGCATTATGGGAATTCTTTAATTATTGTTTTGCCCTGTCTTGTAAATCTAGAAGGTTTGGTGTTGTGCTGAAACATAAGAGAAAAGATGCTGAATTATAGAAATGTACAATCCTGCCTTCGTTCCCCCAAATTACTGTACTTACACTTTGTGGTGATAAAATGGTTAGAGAGCAGGAGAAAAACTAATTTGATTTTAAAAAAATCAGTTGAATCTGTCCCTAGAATTGTCATTTGGTGTCATGAAGATGTGCACAAAAATTTCAGTATGGATCTAGAGACTGCAACAGTACAGAGCTTTGCATGTGSATTGCCTTAGGATATTTACTCTCCTCTGCCTTGACAATTATTTTTTTCTCCCTTGATCAAGGAGTTGGTTAATTATTCATTTATGCTTTCTTTCTGTTCTAGAATTCTGAAGTGTCTGTTTTTGAGGTCAAYATTCGCTTCATTGGTGGTCTTCTAGCAGCATACTATCTTTCTGGACAAGAGGTAAGGAAACTGGAAGGTGTCTRAAATTCAGTGTATTTTATCAGATGTTGTGTTTGGAGACTTTTCTAGACTCTTGATCTCTCAGTAGTTGCAAACTAATTTCACAGCAGTCAGTTCAAAATTCTTAGAGTATGGAATCTTTAAAGTTTATTTCTGCCTAAGTCTGGCACTATTTGTGACACTTAGTTATAGTTTTGAAATGCTTCTTTTATCAAGATGTTTTCAGAAGGTGTCCTCTCAAATAAGCTTCTGCTTGAAATGTCAAGTGAAATGTCAACCTTCTTGTGCCAGCAATAACTTGTTTTGATATTTTGTAACTCCATGAAGGTAGAAATAACAATAGCTTTGTCACTTGTCTTGCAAGGCTTCATCAAAGTGCTACTCAATCTTCTTACCATTTTCTCAGTGACAAACTGAGAAAYAGCAAGCCAATTTTATATTTCTTTTGAAACTTCTATAAAAAAAAAAAAAGATGTAGAGATCTGCTTAGATTGAAAGGATGCTTATGCCCAAAAACTTGAAACCATGGACTGAAGGCTTGACAGATTTTCAGKTGTTCATGGGTATCTTCCTCCATTGTTTAGGGAAGCACTACATACATATGAGCAAGTTCTCAGGGATTTTAAGCCTGCAGCCCTAAAAGAAACCAAGAGAAAACCCGTAATTTGTTGGCCCTTTAAGTCTTTGGCATCATCCTGTGATCTGTGAATATTCTCTTTTATGAGTGTCATTTCTTTAGGAGAACAGCTCAGTTACAAAACAAAAAATCCTTTGTACATCTTGAAAGAAATGGGTACTTTAGTTTTCCTCTAGTGCTCCTGCTTCACCTTCTTCAAACCTCTTGGAGGCATCTACTGTGAATATGAAAAACCTCAGAGAAAAGGCAAGGATCAGATATTCATAGCTGGATTGTTTGTACAGGTTGATACTGCACCTGTGCACAAGCCCATTAAAAAGAACTTTTTTGCCCCAGTATGCAGATAGATGCAGCCAAACACTGCCAAAACATCTGTTTTGTCTGCATTTGTAAAGCACAATATTCTTTCTTTCATTTGCTTCTAAGCTCTTGGTAGAGTCAGAACAATCTCCTTTGCTTTAATAGCTTTAATTTCTTTTCTTCTTAGAAAGCATCTACCCTCTGTTTCCTAAATGTTGGCTGGGCTGAATCTTTTGTTTTTAARATTTTTATGGCATCATTCTCTCCAACAGACTTCAAATGCTTCATGACTTGTGATTATTCCCTTCAAATGTCCATATGTATCATCTTTATTTTCCTAAAGAACTGCTAAAAAAAAAAGTGCTCAGACTGCATTTCTTTCAAAATAGTGTGGCAGCTAGGATTGCTTYGGGTATATCTGAGAGACTGCTTCATTTGCCAAGTTGGATGAGGTTTCTCTGCAATTTGTCCTTGTGGATATGACAGGGAAGGGAATTTGAGGCTCTGCAGCAACTGAGCCCAGGAGAGACACCTGTGTCTGGGAACTCCTTGGAGTTAGAAACAGGTTGCTTGAGATGTGATTTCCAATCTGCTCTTCTCTCTTCTGTTCCCAAGAAGGGAATATATTCCTTAGCTCAGGATTGTGGCATGCTTGATTTCTTTATTCACTGCATTCAGACATGTGAGGAGACACTTTCTAGCCATTGCTAGGACAGACAGACCTGTTCCCAGCTACAAGATGGTTGGTTGCTAGATTTAGAAGGTTTTCATAGTGATTTCCATACTTTTGCATGTCTTGTTTGATGTATTTAAAGTAAGGTCCAATGCAATGAACAGGCTGTTTTGAATTAATCCTATTAATCTCCTTTTAATAAATACAAATTCTGCACAGGTCTTACTGCTGTTTGGTGGTAGTTACAAAAGCTGTTCTTATTTTATTTTTATTCCTATCTCTTAGTGTTGATAAATGTGCTATAGAGACAGCCATAAAACAAAGCATCCAAGGCTCTACATCAGCTGTGAAACTTAAATCCTTTGTAAATGGCCACATCTGGAAAATTTCAGAGTCATCCTGATTTATCTACAATGCCCTTTGTAGGGAAAGGGTAATTGTGCTTGATAGGATTTTATCTGATTATGTCATAAKAGTAGATACTGACCATAGTTTTTGAGTACAGCAGACTATTAATTTAGATAAAGTAATCCTTTTTAATGCTTTTATTGAAAACCTGTTCATTTTTAAAGTTTATTTAGCATGTCTAGTGGCATGACTCTGTGGTTTCCATGCTATATTTTAATCTGCCATATTACTGGTATTACTTAGAGAAGCATCAACTAAGCTCATGGTTTTAACAATGTTGTTTATGGTTGATGGTAGAATTTTAAGCCTTTCATATTAAGATTGTGAGTATTGCTGTCTTTTTATTAGTAAGGGTTTCCTCTAACTCTCTGCAGTGAATGGGTGAATAATGAAATATTCACTGAAAATAAAGTGCCATTTTTAGCAGCTGACAGCTTGGTTAAAAATGCTGTAGGCTTGTCCTGTCCAGTGTTGAGTCACAGCCCTTCTTTGTGAAACATGACACGTGTAAATTTTTTAACAGTTATGTGAGAATTTCTGCTGGACTTTCACAAGTGATGCTCATGTAAAGCTAAAGCTTGAGAAGGATGCATTTGTGTGCAAATATTTTGGTTGACTTGCCTCACTGCACCTTTCTGCTGATGTAGAGAGACAGAATTGTTTCACTCTCTAACAGGCAGTTCTCCTGACATGTGAAAGATCACCATCTTTCTCCATTTTTCCATCTCACCATGCCTTTTGAATAGAAGATAATCAAGATATCCCTGWGAGCCTTGACACAATGGAAAATTTGCCCATGCACTGTGTTTCTTCAGTCTTCTGAAGTTGAAGCAACAACTGGTGGCAGGGGCTGTAGGTCCTCAGTCTGGAATGCCCTGGTTTAAATCCTTTGCACAATATGTTTTTCCTGGCTGATGGTGGACAGGCCATCTGGTGTCTGGCTAGGTGTGTGTTGTCAGATCTAAGATTGTGCTTTCTTTGTCTCAGTTCCCATAGAGAAATGAGGTCTCAAKCTGTCATTGATTTGGAGATTCTTTGAGCCTGTGGCTTTTCTCCAGAGTTCCTTACTGAAATACATAATGAATGTATGTTTAAACATTGGAATATAGAATTATACAGTGKTTTGGGTTGGAAAGGGCCTTTAAAAATCATCTAGTACAGGGGGGACACCTTTCAACAGAGCAGGTTCCAGAGCCCTCACTGACCTGGCCTTAAATACTGCCAGGGATGGTGTGTCCACAGATTCCCTTGGCAGTACAACCTYATTACCCTCCTTTTAACAAATGTGTTCCTAATAGGGCCTTCAGAGGGCTTTGAGCAATCTGGTCTGGTGGAAAGTGTCCCTCCCCATGGCAKGGGCTTGAGCTAGATGATCTTTRAKGRTCTMTTCCAACCTAAACAGTTCTGTGATTATATCCACTCTAAACCTACCCTCTTTAAGTTATAAACAAGTTGTTCCTTCTCCTGTCATTAGGGGCCACAGTAAAAAATCCTCTTCATCTTTCTTATAAACCAGGCCCCTTTAGGTGCTGTAGTGTCACCCCAGAGTTTTCTCCAGGCTGAACAACCTCAATTCTCCCAGACTGCCTTCCCAGGAGATGTGCTGCAGCCTTCTGATCATTTTTGTGAGCTTCTCTTTACCTGTTCCAACAGGTCCACATTCTTCCTTGTATTGGGACCCCAGAGCTGCAAACATTATTAGGGTCCTCAGTATAAATGGGGGGTATACTGTAGTTCTTTTGAAATCACACTGCTGAACTAATGGAGGAGGTTGCATCAGATAATCCCCTGTAGTCCCTTCCAGCCTGACTGATGTGAAAGAAAAAGAGGGTCAATAAAAAAAAAAGGGAAAAAAGCATAAGCTCTCCTGGAAGTGTTGTGGATCATAAAATTATAGAATCATTTAGGTTGGAAAAGACCTTGAAAATCGAGTTCAGCCTGTCCATGTAGACTCTCTTGTGTTTTGTTGCATGCCATAGATTTCTTCCCAGTTTCCAATTAGCAACCAATCCAAAGTGTTTAATTCTGTCATCGTTATTCTTTATTAAATTCTGTGCTAATAGGTGTAATCTCTAAGTATCTAAATAGCTAAATAAGAAATGCAAAATTCATTGTGCCTTTATTAAATAAGGAGCCACTAACTGAATCTTTTTGAGGTATAGGGATTAGGAGARTTGCTCAGTAGAATTGGGAGTGACTGGGAGACATACTGTGAAAACTAGGCCTGTGATTTTCTACCCTAGGTTGTGATAAAATTGATAACATGCTTGTATTTTACATTTTGATTAAACAGGATTGTAGTTAGTGTGTGAGCTGCAAGTTTTCCACTTTCTGAGTTCAGAGGCACCACTGTGCTTCCTCTTTTGCATCTATCAAATGGAGTTAATAGTCCAAAACAACAYACTGATGGTAAAATATATAATGACTTCTTATCTAAATGGAGCCAGACTGTTTCTCAGTAATCCCTGCAACAATCCTTTAATTTCTATAAGAACTACATACGGTCTTCATTATGCTGGTGGGTGGGGGACAGCACTATGATACAGCTGGTAACACAAGAGAAATAAGCAGAAATTAAATGTTCCATATGCCTGGTTTGGAGTAGACATTGGGTATGGCAGCTTAGGATGAAAATCAGCCTTACATGATTTTAAAAATAAGCAAATGAAAAACAGCAATAAAAAAAATTCCAAGACAAAACAGGAAAAGCAACCTTTTCTTTTTTTTTCCATGTAGCTGCATTAAGGGATTTGCTTTCTTTTGTGCATCATACTAGCACAAATATAATTTTTGTTTTTAGTTATGAATACATGTTTTTTTATAGTTTTCAGCAAACCATTGTTTAGCATTTTCCCCACAGCTTCTTTGTTTATTCCAAGTTAATTCCCTAGACTTATTGTGTAAGAATGTTTTGTGTTCTTTATGATTTTCTTTAACTTAGCATCCCACACTAATAAAATATCTTGAGATCACTCTATTGTA